ACACCGAAGCACACACACTCCGCCGTTCAAGCACGTTTGACTGCAGTGAAGCAGCAGTACAGAATCTTCCAAAAGCCGGCTTTTTCCGGCAAAGTAAGCACGAATTACAAAAAAGACGTGCACGCGCGAGCCAAGAGAAAAAAAAGAAGGGACACGATAGTCCGCGAGAGTCAGCTGTGCCAAGACTGCAGCGAGCACTGGATCAGCCGGGGACCCGGTCCAGAGGCTCTATTTTCCTCTGCCCACCCGCTCTCTGTCTAGCTTCCAAGACCGGCGTCCCGACGCCGCGCGCGAGCGCCGATTCGTATTTTTAGCGGTCTTGGCGGCACCGCGCACTCGAGCCTCGACCAGCGCAGCGTCCGCACGCCCCGACCCACCCTCTCTCTCTCCCCCCTTCGCAACAATTTTCTGTTTTCTAATACCTCCACCCCCCCTTTTTTCGGGGGGAGGGGGTCCGATTTGTCTTTTTTTAACCTGCGTCTAAATGTTTTTTGCTGCCCCGCTCCGCGTTTCCATCTGTCTTTGTTTTTCCTCCCCCCGTTTTCACATCGAGCTCTGCTTTTCACGAAGATTTATACCAGAGGACGGCGACCGGCACTTTGATCTTGGCCTTTCGCGGTCCCCGCTTTTCGGAAGCGCTCGGTTTTTTCGTTTTTTTTTTTTTCTCTCTGCCTCGCGGTGTTTGTAAACGCTGGTTATGGCTTTTACTTTGATTGGATTTTGATTTACCCACAGGGCGCGTCGAGATAATCATTTTTTGTTCGTTAATTGTTTCAACATGGCTATTGCAACTTCGACAAAATCAATTTTTTCGTTGGTGTTGGACGAATTTTTGATAATGAAAGTATGTTTTTTTTTTAAATATTAAAAATAATTATTTCATGGTTCATCTCGCAAACTATTTTTAATTTCAGAATGTGAACGTAACATGGTTTTGTGGAATCCTTAAACAATTCTTGCATTATTTTTTTTAATGATGTGTTGTAACTTTTCAATGAGTTAGAAAGCATACTGGTTTGGTTGTAGAAAAACGTTAAAAATATCTATAGGTTGCTGTACAAGTTACAATTTTACCGACTTCACTGTAAAAATAAAATACATTTTAAAACCCATCGAAGGAACAAATTCTACAATAAGTTGATCTGATTATATTCCTTTCTATTAAAGACCTTAAAATCATCGCTGAAGTGACCATAACGAGGATGTATTGCACACAAGTTGTTTTTATTTATGAATGTTTCGGCCTGAGATGGTTTGAAAATGCGATATTTTTGAGTATAACTAATGATATTGTATTTCAAATGTATTTTTATGACTTTTTGTGTAAATTATTAAATCAAAATGCAATTATACTGTTATAAATACTTGGGGAGGCGAAAAAAAATTCAATGTAAAATTATAAAAACAAGATTTTGTTGTTCTTATTGCCACTGTATTTTCCATATTTTGGCACCATTATCGATACCTCTCAGTATTTCTGCTTATTGAAAATACTTGTTAATATTCATTTCAATGATGTGGATTTGTAAACTATATTAATACACCAATAAAAAAAAAAAAAAAAAAAAAAAAAAAAAAAAAAAAAAAAAAAAAAAAAAAA